TTATGACGCTTCATGGTGAAAGCCGAGTTCCTTCGGAAGCCACGAGGCCGATGCCCCTTCTAACAACCAGAGCAAAAATTTTTATAGGTACATGGAACGTTCGAACAATGTGGGAAACCGGGAAGACCAGTCAAATATCAATGGAAATGTGGAGATACAACTTAGCAGTACTGGGAATCAGCGAAACCCACTGGACCCAAGCTGGACAGAAAAGGCTAGCTACGGGAGAGATGCTGCTATACTCCGGTCACGAAGAGGACAATGCTCCACACACTCAGGGAGTTGCTCTAATGCTGTCCAAAGTAGCACGAAATGCACTTGTAGGATGGGAATCTCACGGATCCAGAATCATCAAAGCATCATTCAAAACAAAGAAGGAGGGGATCTTAATGAATATTATCCAATGTTATGCACCCACCAATGATAGCAACGACGACATTAAAGATCAGTTCTACGAGCGGCTGCAGTCAGTGATAGAGAAATGCCCAAGAAAAGACCTCACCATTCTAATGGGAGATCTCAATGCCAAAGTCGGAATAGACAACACTGGATATGAAGATATTATGGGACGACATGGACTGGGAGAAAGAAACGAAAATGGAGAAAGATTTACAAATCTATGCGCATTCAACAAATTGGTCATAGGAGGCACAATATTTCCACACAAGCGTATACACAAGGCTACATGGATCTCACCGGACCACACTACAGAGAACCAGATAGACCATATTTGCATCAACAAAAAATTCCGAAGGACAATGGAAGATGTGAGAACCAGAAGGGGTGCTGACGTAGTTTCAGATCACCACCTAGTTGTAGCCAATTTAAAACTGAAGCTAAAAAAGAACTGGACAAGTGGACAAACAGCACTACAAAGGTTCAATACAGCCTTCCTTCGAGATACTGACAAAATCAACGAATTAAAGATATCTCACAACAACAGGTTCCAAGCCTTACAGGATCTACTGAAGGAAGAAGAAACTACTATGGAGGACAACTGGAAAAGTATCAAGGAAGCATTAACTTCAACGTGTCAAGAGGTTCTAGGCTTCAAGAAGCATCATCACAAGGAATGGATCTCTATAGAAACACTGGACAAGTTCAAAGAAAGGAAGAACAAGAGGACAGCAATTAACAACAGCCGAACACGAACAGAGAAAGTCCAAGCACAAGCTGAATACATAGAAGTAAACAAGCAAGTGAAGAGGAGCATTAGAGCCGACAAGCAGAAATACGCGGAAGAACTAGCAACGACGGCAGAAAAAGCTGCTAGAGAAGGAAATATGAAACAACTTTACGATACAACGAAGAAACTATCAGGGAAATACAGTAAACCATAGAGGCCGGTCAAAGACAAAGAAGGCAGGCCAATCACCGAAATTCAACAACAACGTAACAGATGGGTAGAATACTTCGAGGAACTCCTGAATAGGCCGGCTCCAATGAATCCACCGGACATCGAAGCAGCACACATAGATCTTCCTATAGATGTCAATCCACCAACTACGGAAGAAATTAGAATGGCCGTCAGACAAATCAAGAACGGGAAAGCAGCAGGACCCGACAACATACCAGCTGAAGCATTGAAATCAGACATCGAAGTAACTAGAAAGATACTTTGCCTTCTATTCAAAAAGATTTGGGAAGAGGAACAAGTGCCGATGGACTGGAAAGAAGGACACCTCATCAAGATTCCAAAGAAAGGATACCTGAGCGAATGTGAAAACTACAGAGGAATCACACTACTGTCAGTACCAGGGAAAGTCTTTGACATAGTTTTGCTGAACCGGATGAAAGGTGCAGTAGACGCCCAACTTCGAGATCAACAAGCTGGATTCCGTAAGGACAGGTCGTGCACAGACCGAATCACGACACTACGGATCATGGTCGAACAATCAATTGAGTGGAACTCGTCATTGTACACCAACTTCATTGATTATGCAAAAGCATTTGACAGTGTAGATGAGAGAACGTTATGGAAACTTCTTCGACACTACGGAGTTTCTGAGAAGATTGTCAATATTATCCGGAACTCATACGACGGACTATAGTTCAAAGTAGTGCATGGAGGACAGCTGACAGACGCATTCTAAGTAGGAACCGGAGTCAGACAAGGCCGTCTACTCTCTCCCTTCATCTTTCTTCTGGTGGTCGACTGGATTATGAAGACCACTACATCTGAAGGAAAACACGGAATACAATGGACAGCTCAGAATCAATTAGACGATTTGGACTTCGCAGATGACCTAGCCCTCCTATCGCATACACATGAACAAATGCAGATAAAGACAACCAGTGTAGTAGCAGTCTCTGCATCAGTAGGCCTCAAAATACACAAGGGGAAACCAAGGTCCTCAAATTCAAAACGCAGAACAGCAATCCAATCATTCTTGATGGCAAAACTCTGGAAGATGTAGAATCCTTCACATATCTAGGAAGCATCATCGATGAACAAGGAGGTTCAGATGCAGACGTAAAGGCGAGGATTGGCAAAGCAAACACAGCATTCCTACAGTTGAAGAACATATGCAACTCAAAACAACTTTCAACCAATATCAAAGTGAGAATCTTCAATACGAACGTCAAGTCAGTCCTACTGTATGGAGCTGAAACTTGGAGAACTGCAACAAACACCATCAAGAAGGTGCAAGTATTTATGAATGGTTGTCTACGCAAGATACTCAACATCCATTGGCCGGATACCATCAGCAACAGCCTTCTGTTGGAGAGAACAAACCAGCTTCCAGCTGAAGAGGAAATTAGGAAAAGACGATGGAAATGGATAGGACATACACTACGCAAATCGTCAAACTGCATCACGAGACAAGCCCTAACTTGGAATCCTGAAGGAAGGCGGAAAAGAGGAAGGCCAAAGAACACATTACGTCGGGAAATAGAAGCAGATATGAAAAGGATGAATAACAACTGGAAGGAGCTGGAAAGGATTGCCCAGGACAGGGTTGGATGGAGAATTCTGGTGAGCAGTCTATGCTCCTTTACGAGGAGTAACAGGCGTAAGTAATGTAAATAAGTATGACCAGTTTATTGAAGGCACACAGGTTTGCAAATCTCTCACCATTTTCGTTCCATTCTCCCAGTCCGTGTCGTCCCATGATGTCCTCATATCCGGTGTTGTCTATTCCAATCTTGGCATTGAAATCTCCCATCAGAATGGTCAGTTCCTTTGATGGGCACTATTCGATGATTGACTGCAGCCCATTGTAGAATTGATCTTTAGCGTCTTCATTGTAGTCGTTGGTAGGCGCATAGCATTGGATGATGTTCATTGAAATGCCCTCTTTCTTTGTTTTGAACGAGGCTTTGATGATCCTTGGTCCATGAGATTCTCATCCTATAAGTGTCTTTTGTGCGTGTTTGGACAGCATCAAAGCAACTCCTTTTGTATGTGGTGCATTTTCTTCTTCATGGCCGGAGTATAACAGGAGCTCTCCTGTAGTTAGTCGTTGTTGACCAACTTGTGTCCAATGTGTTTCACTGATCCCAAGTACCACTAGGTTGTATCTTCTCATTTCTGCAGCAATCTGGAAGGCTCTTCCGGTGTCCCACATTGTACGAACATTCCATGTACCTAAATAAATAGTCGCTCTGGTTGTCAGAAGGGGCGTCTGCCTCGTAATTTCCGAAGGAATTCGGCTTACATCATGAGGCGTCATAACTCTTCTAAATAAAGACCTTCTGACTCCCAGGGCAGAGTTTAAAAGCTTTGGGTAATTTTTTCTGGTTAGCGTTTTTTTAACGAGTTAGTTTTCTACGGGATGGGGACGCTAACCCCATGCCCAACCCTCCTCCTACATCCGGGCTTGGGACCGACAGTAGCCTCCAGAGGGACTCCAGGCTTAGTTTATACTGTGCTAATCCAGTAATATTTAGATGGTTACTTTAGTAAATAGGATAACATGAGTCAGTTAAATGAGAATCATGTGAAAAGTTCACGATGTGAAAATAAATGACTGAATGAATTGTGTGTATGTATGTGTAAGATTGAGTTATTAACAGTTGATAAAAGTGCAAGTTGGAGATTGAAAACTGTTTCTGAATGATCAATGCGTATGTAAAGTGAAAATCACGCAATACATAATTGTATTGCTAAAATAATCCACATTAATTTCGGTTAGAATAACGATGCATGTGAAATAAATAGGTTGGATAGAGAAAGGGTCTAATTACTTGTTAACGAATATTTGTCAAGTAGTTGCTAGCTGAATACCATCCTTTCTGTTCAGGCTGTTCTTGTTCGCCTATATACACAGCGCTTCGGCTGTCAATCTTACTTTATGAGTGCTAAAACTTTTCTGAAGTATTTCGGTCCTCCCAATATTGATCTTGTGTCCTGTTTCCAACGCATATGACGCTATCGCAAACTTATTCTCAAGTTTCTTTAGATCAACAGAGGATTTGGGAACATTTTTCAAACACTGTTTATGTTCCTCCAACCGTACATTTAATTGTCTGGAAGTTTCTCCCACATAAGCTGCATTACAATCATGACAGTTGATCTCATAGGTAATATTTTATTGTTCTTCTTTTACTATTCTCAATATTATTTATATTTAAGCCAGTACAATTGTAGCATTTTTCCTTAACTTATTTGTTATATGATGTATTTGTCTTCTGTTAAATAATACTTTTGTGGAAAAATGATATCTGAAATAATTTCGGTGATTGAAATTTAAAGTAATTCGAACGTTGAGATCGCTGAGATTATTTCAAATGTAATTTCCACATATAATGACTAATCTATACTCGGCGCCCAATTTTTGCCAAACTAACTATAATGACTGTCCTAATTTAACCTTTATCGACTGTAAGATTTTACTGGTTTCAGCCTTAAGTTTATTAAGCATTGTCTTAATTTTCGTTTCCTTAATTAGTTCATATCGGTCCTCTTGTAGATGTTCCCTGGCTTTTTTCTCGTAGTCTGATTTTTTCATAATAACTGTCGTGTTCCCTTTTATTTATAATCCAAAATAAGACTTTTATTTATAGATCCGATGACTTGTTTATTAGCTGTTAATTCAAGAGTATATCTTACATAGATACCTTCCAAAAGCCAATACAATAATTAATTTCTAATAAGAAAACAGTTTTATTTATTTTAAGCGACGATTATGATCATTATAATCAATTAAATCAGTAATTTTACATAAAAATATATACATTCATTCTCATCTTATTATTTGAAAGAACAATCATCTATTCCATTCGAATTATACACAAGAACTCTTAAAACAAGTTCAATGGAATGCTAACTAAAGTTAACATAAAGCAAACAATCTATTTTACAGATTATATAGTATATTTTGATTCATACTCTCCAATAAACACTAAACATATTTGCATAGTATTATTAAATGTTTAGAATTCTTTGATAGTAACTTTATTCTGAATAGGTAATCAAAAACTCAGTTACTAAAGAACATAAACATGATATTACCACTTCTCAACAATTATCATTTCCTGAAATGCATAAAATCACATGAAATAATAGATGTTCAAATTATTATTATTATTATCAGTATTATTATCACCCTGTAAAAATAAGTATATATATTCGCGATTGTACAGCTTTGAAAATGAATTCGCCGAAAAGACAACTCTTCGCTGAACTAATCTTTCTTTATTATTTAATGTCATAATGGGTGTATTCCGTTTGTTAAAATAATCGTCTTCGTACAAAAGTTGTAAAGATAATAAAATATGTATATATGGTAATATATGAAACAAGTAATCATCACTACAGTTTTGAGAATTTTACCATAATTTGTTAAAATATAAAGTGAGAAATGTGTAACAGAATTCTTAATTTCAGCAGTCAATATTAAAAGAACACAAAACAAAAGATTATAAAGGAAATGAATAGATTACATTGAAATATCACAAAAATTTTAATAATGATATGTACATTATATTAGATGATGTGAAATATTTAACGAAAGTTTATTACAGATTGAATTGTACGATTAGAAGAAATCATTTAGATATTACTCAAGCGTTGGTGTTTCCAAGATACTTTACTTTAACGATAAAAGATAAACGGGTTCTATCATTATTATTATTATTATTATTATTATCATTATTATTATTATTATTATTATTATTATTATTATTTTACATGTGCTTGTAACAAAAAACAAAGATATTTTTCTATTTATTCTCAACCTGTGAATGAAATGGCAATATATAATTAATCGTGTTATTGTGTGTTATTTGTCATGTAATTGACAATTTAATCATAATATTAAATTAATAGAAATAATTAACCATTAAGTAAGTTCAAAAGCAGTGAAATAGATGCTTTAGTAAATACATTTTAGTGAAAAAATGTACTTGTTGAATGACCACTGGTAAAAATTTTCACAGTCAGTAAATGTATCAGGGTTATCGACAAACTTCGGTATCAAATGTTTCTTATATCCTAATTTTGTTTATTCTCTTTCTTTCAAGTGTACAGAAAAGTTTCCAAATCTTTTGAAAAGAAAAATGATGAACTCATTTTCGATAAACACACTTCGTTTGAATTTGAAAATCAATGTGATTGTATAAAATTATTAAAATCACGGTTCAAATATTGAACTGTTTAACAAAATCATATCAATGTGGTTTATTTCAAATGAGTAACATTAATACAATATATTTTTGCAAACATTCCAAAGTGTTGATAAAAGCATGCTCAATATACAAATCATTTGAAATTATCACATTGTTCCTTTCTAGTCACATTGATAAATCCTCATGAACAGTTTGGATCTATCGGGACAAACAACTGAATAGGACTAGTAGTTAATTTGTATTTCAATAGAGGTATAACGTTTAACAATATCAGAATTGTATAAAAGCAGTGCCAAACGTTTGGAAATCCTTCTATTAACTCAGATTGTAATCTAATAAACTTGCTCGATAGAATTCGGTCAGGATGAAGAAGTACATATTAATTAATACTTAGTTATAAGAACCACTGTACGTACCTCAGTCTTAAAGAAAGCCAATCGTGATACAGATAACTCATTATTAACATTTCTGACTGTAATAATGTTTAACACGTCTAAATTTTATTGAGTACAAAAATTCCTTCCGACTAACGACACACCATACTGATAAGCGAAAAGTAGTATATATATATGTACTACTACCACTGTCGTGTATGTTACTTATGCTTACATATATAAGTTGTATGTATCAACATTCGGAAGTGAAATGCCTGAGAGCAGAACGTTGATGAAATTGAAATGAAAAGAAGAGTGAAGAAAACTAAAAGCAATCAGAATAATAGCAGGAATGAATGAACGATGAATTTTATGAAAGACGACTTATGGTAGATGTGCATTTGATGTATTTAATGAATGATTTTCATGTTTTTGCTAGGTAACTGTGTAATTGTGCATTAAACAATAAATCTGCTTTCCCTACCAAATCTCGCTCGCTACTGTGCTACCAATACTACTCTATATTAACCAATCACTTAAAATATGTATGAACATCAGTGCAATACATCGAGGAAGCAAACATGTATTTATCACACTAATTTTTTTGAAATCAGACAGTCAAATAAACACACATTACTTCTTAGTGATACTCAAGAACTATCTATCTATAAAGTATTTCTATGATCTTTAACTTCAGAAATAAATTAAATTAGCTTTTTAATATTCTTAGTTTCCTGTGAGAATACAGAATGACAATTCTCACTACTTCTAGAAAAAACACAAGCCATCCGAAAAACACGTATTTAACAATATAGTCAGTAACTCAATTGTCTTTTTTAATCTATCCTCCAGTTTGTTCTTACTTCGATCAATAAATGCCTAATTTTTTCATATGCTTAAAACCACTTTATTTTTTATATGAAGATTTGATTTTCTTTCCAATGTTTCTTTTTTGATTTTCATATATTAATTTAAATGAAGAAATAGGCTGTCAATTTAACAGAGATTCAAATGTGATATAATAAAAATTTTCCCAAACAACAAAAAAAAATCATGTTTCTGGAAGCTTAGATACAACCTACGTTTATATCAAATTAATTCTGGTTGTTAGGATGTATATAAATGGAAATCCAATAAAGTAGACCATTGTACATTGATTTCGACTGAGTTACATTATACTTCAAGCTGTTCAATCCATCGCTTTTAAATCGACGCTCTGAAGTATTCAACAACTTGAAACTAGATGCATTTGAATGTTGGAACATTCGTTAAAAACAAAAAAAGTAAGTTGATTACTTCAGTTACCATATTTAGATTTTAATAGTTGAAAACTATATATAATAAATCTTTAAATCTTAGTCATTACGGTAACCATAGATAATTAATTTCATACACATAGTTCACTTTATTATTTTAAAGGGAGTAAGAACAAAGGTTGGTGCAGAATAATATGAATTCATCTTATTTCGTTAGGTTCTCATCAGCTGCTTACAACCTAAAATATTTGAAATTCAACGTTATTATAGATATTGACATACTTATACAACAGAGGGCGATGAAGGATGAATATAAGTAACATAATGTGGCAAAGATTTCGTTAGAGTTAATGAGGTCATAAAATTTTGTTTCGAATATATAGAGTTTGGGGTGGAAGGTTCCAGAAAATTGAAATAGTGATTAGAAATCATGGAATTAAAACACATTAGACGATTATGTAATGAGTAAACTGAAAATAGATTAATGTTAATAAAGGGAGATATGAATTGAAATTGGTCAGTTATGAATGATGTAATTATAAAATTCAGAAAGTGTTGAAATGACGTAATAAAAATGCATAAAATAAAAGGGGGTGGGGTGAATGTTACCAGGGCAAAGAAAGATTTATTACTGTTTCTTTTTGTATACAAAGATCTGGTTTTAAACGTTTGATTGCTATTGCTTCGGCGAATTTCAAAAGGTTTGAATTTGGTTGTTTGTTGATCACCTTGAAGGACTTCAATATATCGACTTCGTGTCCTGTGTCAAGGAGATGTCTTGCGACGGCGCTGCTAAACACATACCGAAAGATTCGACACAGAAACTCAATTTGAGAATTTATTTGATCAAATTAAAGATTTCCACCCAGTTAGTGAAGAAAAGAAAGGCTGGTTTAAATCTAAACTAGTCGATATCGCAAACCAATACCTCGTCTCACCCACACCGCAATCTAAGCTTTTATCCAAAGAACACCTAACAGCATTACGAAATATTAAACGAAATGATGATATAATTATATTACGGTCAGATAAAGGTTCAAGTGTTGTCCTAATGAACACAACAGATTATGTCTCTAAGATGAATTCCATTTTGAGTGACCACACGAGATTGAAGTTGGAAAAAAGTAACAAAGACTTAACTGGCTCCACCGAGAAAAGAATCACGAAAGTACTCAGAGACCTACTGAGAAAGAAGAAGATCGATAATTCTACTTACAATAACCTACGACCTAGTGGGTTTCGTTTGCCCCACATGTATGGTCTACCGAAAATACATAGACAAGATAATCCTCTTAGACCTATTATGTCAATGGTCAATTCACCTTACCACAAAGTTGCAAGATGGCTGGCAGATAAATTAGAACCACTTCGTCAACGACTAGCCACTTATACACTAAATGACTCATTTGTATTTGCTGATAGCATGAATGACATAAATATTGCTGGTAAGTTTATGGTTTCGTTTGATGTGACACCATTGTTTACAAAAATACCACTTCTTGAAACCATAGTTAACCAAAAATGCATCATTAAGTTAGAAGAAAACAAATAATCCTAGAATCATACTACTCAATTTATCATATAACAAAATATTAGTTGACTTTACTTCTAAAACTAAGCTCTACAACATTCTATTCTCCCATTTTACATGCATTGACAGGTATTTCTCTGTTTCAAAATAAATAGGTTAATGCCAAGTAGGATTAATTCAAACGGAAGATGTCGAATAAGGTATATACCTTAGGTAATTTAATACGTAATCATAGCAAAAACGGATGCAATTAGGAAACAAGCACAATGAAGTTAAATTGTAATCCAATGAACCATAATAATATTATCAGATAAACATTAACTATCCAACTCAACAGATGAGGACTTGGATCGAGTAAGAAACTATGCAGCATTTAGGAGAAAAAATGCAAGGATTGTATCTGTGTTACTGTGATTGATTACAAATCATATCAGTCACATATTGTCTTCAGTAATCAGTGCTTTTTTAACCTAAAAGAATTCATTCACCATGTTTGAAACTCTATATCAGATTGAACATAATGGTTCTATGAAATCTAGATAAAAGGCTAATCTCAAAAACTTTAAGCTAAAAACAATTATCTCTGACAATAAACTAATGATAATATCAAACATAATTGGTTATGATTAATCTTGTTGATGAATGATAGTTAGTAGAGCGTCTAATGAATATCCATGATCTTGATAAATCTAATTTGTTAAATTCGATGTTTTCTTACGATTTCAATTATCACATAATTATTAGTTTATATGAAAAATATTATGCCTATTTTAACTATATGACTCAGAGAACATGACATTGTCAGCAACAAAAAAAATCGATTATATATATATATACCCAAAAATAAAATTTATTAACAACACACCGATCTGGATTCTCTTCATTTAATTCATCTGTCTTATGACTCATTGCATAATAACGACCAATCAATAAATTGATTCGACTTAAATTATAACCAGATTGTTCAACACGTAATAAAAGATCATCATCTTCACCACCCCATCCTTCATATAAATTTGAAAAACCATTAATTTTAAGATATTGATCACGAGTGAATGTAACAACACCACCAAAAAATCTTTGATAAATTAATCTGTAAATATAAACATAAATAATTCATAACTCATAAAAATGAAAACTTAAAATAAAAATAGTAAATTTACATTTTATGAGTTAGATTTTATGCATTTTAACAGTGAAATTAACATACATCTTTAAATTGTTGTATAAACCTCCTCTTGTAGCTCATCTAGGGTTATGATTAATTCTAAGCACAGATAAGCAAGGAGAATTAGTCTTGTGATCAGCAATTCTACCCCGTAGAAAACAACCATACCAATACACTTCTAACCAAAGAAAACAATTTGTACAATTCAACTTCTAACCTGGAAGTTGAAGGATTTTCATTTACAAAAATTATAACATCTCATGGTGAAAGTCGAAATTCTTTGGAAATCACAAGGCTGTTCACCTTTCTTTTAAACAAAGTAACGATTAACATCGGTAAATGCAATGTCCGGATAATATAGGAACCTGGGGTGGTGGTGGTCAAATAGCTGTGTAAATGAAAAGATACAACTTAACAATTCTCTCAATAAGTGAAAACTATTGGACACAGACTGGCTAGAATAGATTATATTCAGGAGAGATACTGTAGTACACGGGCACACACAGAAGCAAACAAGAGAGTGAAGAGGAGCATTAGAGCTGACAAGTAAAAGTACGTGAAAGAGCTAGCAACGATAGCGGAAAATACTTCAAGAAAAGGAAATATGGAAAAATATGTGATACAACAAACAAACATGTAAGAAAATATAATAAACCAAAAAGATCGGTAAAAGACAAAGAAGTCAAGACAATCACTGAGATTGAAAAGCAATTGGACAGGTGAGCAGAGCAATTTGAAGAACTCTTAAAAAGATCAGCACTACTGAACCTATTGGATATCGAAACAGAACATACAGACCTTCTTATAGATGCCACTCCACCAACGATCGAAGAAATCAGGATGGCTATGAGACAGATCAAGAATGGGAAAGCAACAAGATCAGATGACATGCCAGATAAAGCAGTGAAGTCAGACACAGGGGTAACTGCAAACATGCTTCACTTTCTAATCAAGAAGACTTGGGAGGAAGAAGAATTACCGACAGATTGGAAAGAAGAATAACAGGCATATTATTATACTGAAAAAAGGAGATCACAGAAAGTGTGAGAAATACAGAGGCATCACACCATTATCGGTATAAGGACGAGTTTCCAACAGAGTATTGTTGAAGTGAATGAAAGACTTAGTAGACTCTCAACTTCGAGATCAATAGAGTGAATTCCGAAGGGATCGATCGTGTACAGACCGAATCACGACACTACGGATGATTGTTGAGCAATCAGTTGAGTGTAGTTTGTCACTATACTTCGTCTCTCTTGACTACGAGAAAGCGTTTGACAATGTGTATAGGGGAATTTTATGGACCCTTACTCGACACTGTGGTGTACATAAGAACATTGTAGATATCATCCGGAATTCGCGCGACAGACTACACTGCGAAGTGGTGCATTTAGGACAACCGACAGATGGATTGGAAATGAGGACTGGTGTCAGACAAAGCTGTCTGCTCTCTCCCTTTCTTTTTCTTCTGGTGGTTGATTGAATTATGAAGACTTGCACATTTCAGCTGAAGCACAGAATACAATGATCAACTTGGATGAATCTAGACGAATGGACTTGACAGTTGATCCAATTTTTCTATCCGAAACACACCAACAAATGCAGGTTAAGACAACTAGTGTACCGGCAGCTTCTGTAGCAGTAGGCCTCAGCATACACAAAGGAATAAATGAGTTCCTCAAACACACCACAGAGAACACAAATTCAGTCACACATGATGGAAAAGCTCTGACATATGTGGAATCTTTCACGTATCTGATCAACAGCATAATCGATGAAGGAGGAAGATCGGATGCAGGCGTAAAGACGAGGATTGGCAAATCAATGGCCAATGGTGCATGGAGGACAGCTGACTGATGCATTGCAAGTGAGGACTGTATTCTAACACGACTAACTACGCTCTCCCTTTCTCCATCTTCTTGTGGTCGACTGGACTACGAAGACCTTTATATTTCAGGGGAAACCCGGATACAATGGACACCTTGGATGAGACTAGACGATTTGGATTTGACAGATTACTCGACTCTTCTATCCCAAGCACACCAAGAACTACAGGTGAAGACTGCCAGTGTAGCACCAACCTCTATAGCAGTAGGCCTCAGCATACACAAGGGAAAATGCAAGATCCTCAAATACGAAACTGAGAACACTAACCCAATCATACTTGATGGGGAAGCTCTGAAAGAGGTGTAAACTTTCACGTCCCTGGTCAGCATCATTATCAATGAAAGAGAAGGATCCGATGCTAATGTAAGGGCACGGATCGGCAAAGCATCTATAGCTTCACTACAATCAAAGAACATGTGCAACTCAAACAACTGTCAGTCAACAGGGAAGTCTCACTCCAATACATACGTCATGTCAGTTCTATTGTGCGGAGCTGACATTTGGAGAACTAATACAACCATCTGATCAATCCAGTTGCCAAGTCAGATCTGTTTTACAAACTGACACTGATACAGATTTTTTTCAAATTATAAAGGTAGTCACTAAATAAACATTTAAATGACTGTTATCATGTTTATTACTTGTCGATTTCTTTCAACTGAGGAATATAATGAGACATATTGACTTCTCAGTCTTGCTGGTCGATTTCTTTCTCGACTGATGTGGAGAATGGTAGACTGTTGAATACCCTCATTACATAGTTTAATGATATAAAGCAAATGAATGAAGATAAATCAAAACTAAAAGCAATTGTTCAGCCAAGAATTATAGTTTTTTTAGTGAGGTAACATAAAGAAGTCTTAATAAATTTGGAGCATGAATAACAGTGAAATACAGTAAGTGAGTTTAATCCCATTTGGAACTCATCAACAGTATATAACTGGATCGTGATGTTCATCCAAATCCTTAAAATCAAATTCATTTTATTTATTTACTTATTTGAACACATAAATATTGATACAAAGGAGCACCAAATACATATGTGCTACACAAGAACAATGAGAATGTGAAGAAATGGAAAATGTAAAGTGCGTGTAAGAAAAAAGAAGCAGCTTTATGTCTAACAGAACTATATCTTTAGCATAAATTGTACCTAAATGGCAATAGTAGTATATGTTGCTTTAGCAATATCACCAGAGCTAATGAACTGAAATTATAGCTTTATTGAGAGGATATACTGATAAAATAACATGGAAGTCAGTAGCAAATAGTTTGATTGAAAGTGTTGTCGTTAAATTTATCTGTATCACTACATGATTTACACAAGAAAGAATTTTACGAATCACTTTATATGAGATGCTTAAACACTTTAAGAAAGCGGCATGAATTCCTTCCTTTAAGAATAAACTATATACATATTTGAACTTTTATACTTGGCTTTCTTTGGAGCCTGAGTCCCAAAATCTCAAATCATTTTTATATGATTTATCCTTTATATTATTACTGGTACTTTTACTACTTCTAATACACTGAAACTTGTCTTGATAATTTATTTCGCTGTGCTAAATTGCTATGTCACATTGAACTGATGAACATATCTGTCAGGTTTTATGTTGAAAATGATTACTGACTAATTGAATTTTCACACACATGCCATCTTGTTTAGAAAATGATCAGTAAATCGTGTCCTAAAAATCAGCCAAATAAACAATATAGCTTATTAATCTTTTATTGTAAAACAACCACTGTTGACTTTACCTAGGAAATACGCAAATGTTATTCATTATATATTTCTGAGCTTCCTTACATCACGTTGAGCTGAATAAAAGCCTTATTGTTTAAAAGCGACAGGTCGGGTAGAAATGAAAATGTGGACAAGGGATTAATTGAGTAACAAGAGTAAATATATTTAGTTAACTGTAAACGTGAATAGTGAACAGCAGCTAACAGTGTGCCAGAAAGTAGATTCTGTAGGTTGCGTAGATGAGTGCAGCGTACATCCTGATTGATCAATCAGTTTTATACAATCCAATATTTGTATAAGTCTAACTGCATCCCATCCATCAATTTGCAATGTAGCAACGTTTCTAACTGATTTGACTTTAAATTCATCACGTCTAAAAGTTTAATGATGACCGAAGTTAATCAGAACTCTTATTTGGTGCTTTTAGCCTTACTATTATACAAATGACCTATCTGACATAGCGGAACGTCAAATATCAAGTGTTTCAGGCATTGTAGATCGATTTAGCCGTCAGAATAGACGAACTTGACTATAATTATCAACGTAGTTTCGAGTGAATACAACCTAAAACCAATGATTTCTAATTATCTTCAACCATCTGAAACGCATGCATCAGTATTTTTTTAATTTCACACATGTTCTTGCAACAGAATATTGAAAAGAAATTATTCAAAATAGAACTAACTTGTAGTTAAAAGTACTTAATGAAGCTGACAAATGTGTTGGATTTGGTCCACATGTATAAATAATTCGATCATCTTCTGGTAGTTTATCTACATCATGTAAAATGAAACAGTCATATTCTTTGAATTTGGAAACTTCAAGAAAACCAGCATTTAATAAAGCACCACGATTAAATTTCGTTTCACCGGTCTGAAAAGTCAATAATATGTATGTCTTTAGTTTAAAGATTGTTAGTAACTAACAGACAAAGGAATTATAATGTAGCTTTTGAAAAGCTGTTCAGAAAATTACTTATGATCAGATAAACAATGAGTCCCTGTATATTTTTGAAACGGGACATAGGCTTTCTGAGTCGGTAAATCATTTGTAACAGACTTACTGATATATTTTATTAATATCTAAACTGATTGGTGATTGAATACTTTTCTCAACTTTTGAAAGAAAACTAGTTTCATGTCTAACAACCAAAGTAGCTCGTACGTTACAAAATAATAAAGTTCATTTAACTTTAGTGATTTAACTGAAATCTAGAAAATGAATATATTTGCACTCAGTAAGAACGACAATACTTGCAAAATACAGTGAATTCAATGTATTCCATTGCTTTTTATTTAACTATATGTAGGTTAATATTATTTAATTATTTATAATCATTAACAAAATTTTCAATCTGATAAATGAATTGTCAATAATGAATGGATTATTTTAAATATTGAAAGATTAAGATCTAAACGTTCCAACTTTTTACTCCGAAAAGAAACAGGTTTTTGTTCATCTGCTACCAAATCATGAATAAAATTAACCAGACTAAGAACAGAATTAAAAAACGTATTCTCCACTGAGAAACCGATCTCATTGTACACAACATGATACTCAGTAACGCAAACGAAAGAAGGCAAGTATCGAATATCTGCCACCTTTAAATGAATATAACGTATATGCTCATACAAAAGCATAAACCTCGGATGAACATAAAAGCAGGGCTCAACTCGTCTTACTGAACATATTCCTGGTAATATTATCCTTCAAGGACAAGACAGTTTTCTTAGTTAGATAGCATATCACCTTCAAGACACGGAGCATAACGTTGACGAAATTAATGTATTATATTAAAATTCACGGAGGCCATAGCAATCAGTTGGTTTAATTCTGACCTCTGTATTAAAAGTCAGTGGTTAACTTTCAACTGTTTTAATAAAAGAATCGAAATAAGCATTTCGCCACTTATTTCCCGCTTTTAACTGATTGTAATCATAAACGAGTGATGTACACTTCCATGAACAAATCCTTCTCGTTTTACATAATACTGTCTCAATTATTCTAGAACTGTTACTTTAAATAATGGTGAAAAACCTGTTGTGAAAGTTTTATTCTTAATTATTTTTTTACATTTAGAATAATCTATTCAATTAAAGACAATTCATTTATGAGATTGAGCACTTTGTTAATGATTATAAATAATTATATAATATTAACCTTTTTATAGTTAAATAGTAAGCAATGGAATACATTGAATTCACTATATTTTATGGGTCTTACCATTCTTATTTTGTTCGAATATTGTACGACAAATAAATTGTGTGTAAATATACTGTTGACTTAGTTTTGTATAATATGTAGATTTTTTTAGTGGCCCTTAGTCTGCTGACTCCAGGTTGATCATGTAAATGATTGTTATCGAAACAATACATATCGCCAATCCCTGTATATTATTATCGACTTCACACGCGTTAGTGAATAACAGAATTAAATAAGTAAAATACGAGAATGGATTTTGATTATGTATATTTCATGTACTCAGTGATTTGAATAGGTAATCAGGGGGATGAAAAGAAGAACGAAGAAGATTGGAGAAGGCTTGTGAGCCAACTCAACAGAGTGTAAATCAATATTTATTGTCAGAACAAAAATAAGCTACAGACATATGATGAGTGGGATAAGCAATCAACACATATACGATCACGTAAAAACAGTTAGAGTTAATAAGCGAATAATTAACGAGGTCAAAGTATGACTCAAGAAGAATGAATAAACTGGCCTGTCCAGAAGCTAGAATAAGCTATGTGGGCTTAACATAGCGGCCGACACTACAATTTGTAAGGACATGTGTATCATTTAGAAGTTCGAAACAAATAATCCTAAGTTATAAGCTTGTCCATGGACTAGTTTTCATATAGAATTCGCTTTATTTGAAATCTTGTTATCAAAAGTACTTGTTTAGACTTTGAAATACCTTGACAATGATAACATAAATAATATGAACGCCTTTCATGTATTAAACAAAACTCCAAAGACAGATCCTATAAAATATAGTATCTGAGTCTTTACCACTTACCTGTTCAATAATAAAAATGGTATATGGTATTCTTTGATGTCGTAAAAATCCATGTAAATGATCTGTTAACACTCGTAAATGTTGTTCTCTTTTACGATAAGGAATAATTATAGCCGATGACAGGCTAGGTAAACAACCTAATGGAGACCATATAATTGGTAAGGTATAATTGATAGTGTGATTTTTCTTATCAATAATATATCTTAAACTATTACTTGATGCAGCATAACCATTTATTTTTGTGGCATTATACTTAGTGTAAAGTGATCCAAATATTTGTTGTGGAATGAAATTTTTCAGTGACGAATCCGGTGAAATAAAATCTATTGATTGAGATAATGTATATTTATATTGTATCTGTGGCCAAAATAATGCTTTATTAGGCGTTTTCACGTGACCAACTGAAATATAAAAAAATACAAAGTGAAATCGAAAAAACTTTTATTTTTTCGAAAATTTAAACTTCAATTTTAGATGTTTGTCATTTGAAAAATTTATTCAACTTGAATTGGTCATGTCAACTAAGAAGAAAACACTACCCAATGTTCACTTGCATAAACTACCATTCCAGATGAATTCGTTCTATGATAAAAACCAATCTCCAGATTATGAATATTTTTCAAGATCAGGAATTATCATTTACAAATATCTATACAGTATGATAGTAATCTACGTTGTCAACATTTTATTGCTGTAGGTAACTTATGAAATGACTGTTTCTTCTTAAAACTACCTACGAATTACTGAAGCACGTATGTAATCACTGAACAAAATGATTAGTATTCAATCAATTTATTAATGTTCATTCAAGTTAATGTTAGGTCTGTTGTACTTTCTCTATCTTTGTTCAATCCCTATCGACTCTTTTGTGTATTGTTTTATACTACTTATAAATATTGAGTAAACAGTTGTTTTCCCAAAAACTACGCGTATGTTGTAACGCAAGTTTGTCGTGTAATATTCTAAAATATTTACATATGCTTATAACATTTATTGTGTTTATCATTAAAATTACTTTCTCTCAATCCTTGTAGCAGTTATTTGCAATTTTGTGCAATCACTGTTTAAACGCAACAGTTTCCATATTATTTGCTATCGGTTCAGCTTTTTCCTGTTGCTAAACTATTACCAAGTTTAGACACAGCTAACAGCTGTCATTTGCACTATCGTATGTTATAATTATTCTTTATGTAATTAATGGAAGAAGCCTTTTTTCCAGACTTACAGATCCGGTAAGCGCCACAGATACCTCACAAATTAAGGTTTGTAACTAATTTATGTATATTATTCAATAAAACATCGCTTTTTTTAGACAACTCGTTGATTTGTGAATTTCGATTTCACGTGTATCTCAATTGGGTGGACCAGACGCTTAGATAGATTTAACAGTTAAACTAATAAAAATGTGAAAACATTTGGAAATAAGGGGTTTTTAAGATAATAATTTGAAAATACCTATGAAAACAACTTGCCTTGTGTATATTTTAATCTGCGACATCGTAACTACAAATCAAAAATAAAGTGAGGTAATTCGACATGTGCTACAAAGATGGTTGATTCAAATGCTTTTCTATATAAAAATCGTATGTCGAATACACTGAACTTTAGAATATGACCATAATTTTAAGATTACCAAATTCATTTTAAACAATTGCTAATGAGATTTTCCCTAACTTACTTAAATACATACTTACTTACGCCTGTTACCTTTCGTGGAGGAGCATAGGTCGCCAACCAGGATTCTTCATCCAACTCTGCCCTGGACAATCCTTCTCAGTTGTTTCCAGTTGCTAATCATCCTTTTGATGTTTGCATCCAATTTTCGGCACAGTGTGTTCTTTGGTCTTCCTCTCTTACACTTTCCTTCGCGATTCCAAGTTAGCACTCGCCTCGTGATATAGTGAGGTAATTTCCTCAATATGTGTCCTATCAACTTGCAAAATCTTTTCTTAATTCCCACTTCAGCTGAAACCTGGTTTGTTCTCTCTCAAAGTTGCTTGTTGCTGATGGTATCTCGTCAAAGGGCAATGAGTATCTTACGTAGACAATTGTTTATAAATACCTGTACTTTATTGATGATGGTCGTACAATAGAACTATCTGGACGTTAGTATTGAAGTTTCTGACTTTAACATTAGTTGATAGTTGTTTCTATTTCCATATGTTCTTCAGCTGTAGGAATTCTATCCTTGCTTTGCTAATCCTCGCCTTTACGGCTGCATCAGATTCTTCACGTACATCGTTGATACTGACCAGATATGTGAATGTTTCCACCTCTTCCAGAGCTTCTCCATCAAGTGTGATTGTGTTGGTTTTCTCTGTGTTGTATTTCATCATCTTGTTTTATTCCTTGTGTATGTTGAGGCCTACTGCTATAGAGGTTGGTGCTACAATGACAGTCTTCACCTGCATTTGTTTATGTGTACGAGATAGAAGGGCCAGGTCATCTGATTTTTAAAAAAGAACTTTTCAAAAAAACTATGTCTGCACGATTATTAATTAATCGTATTTTAATAAAAAACACACGTGACATAATTCCTTACTGATGTGTTCATTATCTTTTCAAAAAAGAACAAACTGAATTGTTATCATGAAACGTTTAACAGGAATGTGTGAAATTCATATTTTACTTTAATGTGTAACCGTTTATTCACTTTGAAAATTACTGTTTAAATTTATAAATCAGTGCATAATTTGATGTGTTTCTTCAAGTAGCCAAATACAAATAAGCCATACAGAAGGTCATTCAAAAAATTGTCAACCACTTACATGATTATAAATCACCTGGACGAAACAGAAACATGCTACAAAACCTGAAAAGTCATACAGTCAGAAGAAGAGTCACTAGATGTGACTAACTTAACCCTTGTGTAATATTTAGAAAGAGCTAATAATACTGTTCATAATGACAACGATAGCTTTGTAATTCAAACCATTTAGGTTATAGAATTTAAAACTACCAATAGCATTTACTTTAACCTCTGCTTCATGTTGGAAATCTATATCTTTATTATTATGCATTCGTCACTTGGATATCATCTATGTGTCCAGATGGTAAAGGATCATTAAAAAATTAATAGGAATTAAACTTGTAGAAAAAATCTTTAATCACATATTGCTGTTAATTAGTTGAAAACTATCAATAAAAACTTTAATTGAACTCAGTTTTATGTTAGTTAAAACTCTTCATCATCTGCGATATTGAGAAAAGCGTCAGTTTCTGTGACAATCAATCATGTTTCACTTAAATTCACAAGCAAACCCGTTACAACTAAGCAGTTTCGGACACGACTGAGATTTTACTGCTTATTCATCACTGAAGTGCATTCATTATTACGCCTATCCAATCTTTACATCAGCCTTAAACACAAGTGCCTACATATTTATGATTATCTCATTTCCTTGTTTTGGTTAGAAGACATTAAGAAGCAAATGAAGAACGAAGAAGATTATTACACTGCTAACAGTTCGGCTTTTCAGATGTTGAGTACAAACATTAAATCCTAGTAGGAGTTATTATTTGATTTATGAGTTTAAAACAAAGAAAATATTGGAATCGACTCCATAGATTAGTTATTTCAGAATATATATATGGAAAAACTTATTTTTAATCAGAATCAACTATAAGTTTATAATGTCAGGATCGTTCGTTTGATTTCAGAAGATAGATCACCCCATCAAAGTAGGGTTTAATTTGTTAGTTCAAAGTGACTGGATGGAAAACTTGGACCTACGTTTCTACCGTGGTCCATATAAATCGATAATACTCATTTACTAGTCATTGTATATAATCTAGTCCAAAAGAAGGTCATTTGCAACCGGAACAGCTAGGTAGTGATGTCTCTGATTATGACAGTGGGTGAACTCAAATTGCACGAGGTATATCATTTCTTCAAGATTGCAAATACCTTTTGCTGTCAAGTGTCAACTCGGATGAAACCTGTGTTCAAACCATCAGCTAATATCTAAACACGATCCACATGACGTTGGGTTACTCAAACTAGTGGTCGGTCACATTGTAACTTGATTTATGAAATCTGACCAGAACTATAGTATAGGTAAACCACTCTGCAATCAATTGGCATGAAAAGTGAAGTGTCGTTGTAAATTTGATAGCCTGTGTTACACACTTTATCATTTTACATCTCAATAATATCACATACCTAAAGAAAAAGAGAACTACAAAAATGTGACGATTATAATGATCTTAACATAATTTATCGAATATGATTCACTAAACTCATCCAAAAATGACAAAGACTCAAGGTATTGCCATTTTTTCTTTATCTAAATTTATCAAGAGATCAGGATATATGAGGATTACTTATTCCTGTAAATTTTTCGATATGAAAATCATAATATTTGTATGCTAAAAAAGAATGGATAGTTAGATTGGAATACTTTTTAAAATACATAGAATATTAGTCAGTTTAGTAAGGGGTAAGTCATACGCTTTATATATGATAATTGACTGATTGCACCATCACGGTTTATTAAAATGATATATTATTTTGTCACTATAATCCTATTATCTTTTAAATCAAACTAATCAGGGTGAATGTATTTTCAGAAGATAATTCATTTTTGAAAGTATAGTTCCAGGTTAATCTGTCGTTTAACTTTAAAAACTGAATGACATTTTTTGGTATTTGTAAAGACCCGAAATTGTTTCATGTTAAAAATCACTAGTTAATAATTAAATTGATTCATTAACAGTTTCGTACAATTTAAAGAGAACATTGTGATTTGATTATAAAAGGCTAAATTTAAACTGTCGAATCAATGATCTCAAAAGTTAAGACATCTAGTTTTATGACTCATGATCTCAACCATTGAAATTACTCTATTATCCACAAAACTCCTTCTGATAGTAATCAGCATGTGCTCACTAGTGACTGGCTTCAAGAGGTATATCCTGGAGTTCTAATGAGAAACAGTGACCAGTGGAGTTCAACTGTGTCTGTTGTGAGACAGTAACCCAATGAAGAAAATGGTGGATGTGTCGCTCATTTTTGTGGATTAGTTGAAGTTAGACATTAACACCGTTGGATGCCGGCCGACTCAGTGGTCTAGTGGTTAAGCATTCGCGCGCGAGACTGTTAGGTGATGGATTCGAATCTCGCGACGAGAGGCGGCATCGTAGATGCGTAGTGCTGAGAAGTCGCACAATAGGACGAAACGTCATGCAGTGTTTCTAGGTTTTCCATGGTGGTCCAGCTTCAATTGACTCATGATCTCAGCCATTAAAATCACTATAATATCCACATAACCCCTTTTGATATCTAGTTTTATCTAGTAATAAGTAGTTATATGTGGACCGATGAATCCTTGAGATAATAAAGACTTTTTATGAGACTTCAAGTTTCATAGTAAGCTGACTGTATACTATTATCCGTCAATAATCCCAATAATTTACTTAGTCTATGAAAATGATAATTTTAATCGAATACTATAGTATGCCATTGGTTGTAAATTTCGATACATCATATATCGTTATAGGCGTGATATAGTTTTACCCAAACACCACTAAACGTTTTAATAAATGCTTTCGTAATTGTTTTTTTACAGTCATGTGATTGTGTTGGATACAGTTTTGGGAGAGTCACATTCTTTCATACTTGGAACCAAGAAAAAAACATGAATTCTTTTTAGGGATCATAAAAATTAACACTTTTCTGTTTGTTTGTTTTTTATTAAGATCTTTTAAGGTCTTACTTCATTTTCTATTAAATTAACGTTTTAAAATTTATCCTGATAATAATCAATTCGTCTACATTCATTTTTTGTATGCCTAAAACTTGAACTGATTAAAAGATAACAAGTTTCTCTTGTAACGAAATCTCAGTCAGCGGTTTCATTCTATTTGATTGATATTTGAGTACATAGAGAGCCACAGTTCAACTTTATATCAATATATTTGAAAGAAATTTATAACATTCTACGTGTAAATTGACTAGTGACTACATCGAATAGTAAAATGAATTGTCTGTTGTTGTATTTTTCTTTGAATAATCCAATGAATAATTTATGAAATGATTTGGTAACCATCTATTTGTTTACCTTCAAACTATGGATTAATCTACAATCATCATTCATAAAAGTTATTCTTTACTTATTATCGTAACAAATCAATGAACTGATTTTAATCATCAACTCAATATACTCATAGAGATACCAGTATAAAGATGTCATGTTTAAATATTATGAATAATTTCTGTAAAATTCAACTACAATCTATGCAATTCCATAAGATGTATTCGAATAATAATAATAATAATAATAATAATAATAATAATAATAATAATAGTAACAGTATTAACTACATTACTGAAACAAAAATCAATAAAAAGGAACAGGGACAAAAAATAGAATTATAATTAATAATAATTGTAACAGGTAAAATAATACAAACAAACAAAAAATTACCCAAATATACCTCATTGAATGGATTATCAATAGATGCATAATTAATAACAAATACTGGATTATTTGTTTCATTAAGTTTTGCACTCCATAAATAGCATACATAAGTAGCACCAATTAAAAATAATATCATGAATAAACATTTTAACGGTGAATTGATGAATGATGAGAATAACATTTCGAAAATTCTAAAATGATGAAATATTGAAAAATAAAGATAAATTATATCAGATTGTATTTGTTCTTTTTTGAAAAAAAAACAATAATCAATCCAACATAAAAGAATACCTAAATGCTATGTGTCATATTACAGGCATCGGTGAATAAATCGATTGATAAAATCATTTATTAGTAATTTTAGCTAATCTATATCGGGTAGAGACAGGTATCTACCTCAATACAATGAAAGATGGTTGTATAACTTCGTGGATTGGTTGAGGTTAGGCATTAACAGCGTTGGATTCTAGCTCAGTGGTCTAGATGTTAAGCGTTTGCGAGCGAGACCGAAGGCCTTGAATTCGAATCGCACGTGAGGGATAGTGGATGTGCACTTCTGAGGAGTCCCATACTAGAATGAAATGGTCATCCAATGCATTCACATTTTCAATGGTGGTCTAACATCAATCGGTTCATAATCTCAATCAAAAAGTAATTTTAGTATTGACACATTTTGTATTTATGTTGATAAGGCTTATTAAACTGGTTCATCAGGTAATAAGTTTATATACATGGATTGTTTTACAAAACAAAAAATCATAAAGGTCGTAGTTACTATAAAGTCGTGTTTTATTTTATGAGATAAATATTATTTTATTAGGAAAGCATAAACGTGTATCTCAGTAATTTAATTGGATTTGTTTGATAAAACCATATTTTTAATATTATTGATAATCAGTTCCTGAATTTTTTAGTTGATGCATAATATAGTCTTAATCTTCAGTCTTATATTGGTTAGTGAGGATATCCGTAATGCATTTAATGGTGAATTAATATGTTGCTACCCCGTCTTGAACCTTTCCAATGTTACGGTCAGAAGCCTCAATAAAGCAGGAGAATATGACGTGTGGTTAGCAACCACATATCGTAGAAAAGAACTTTACCAACAAAACACCAACCTTATAAAATCATTTCAGCCACTTCAATTCTCTTCGAAGTCGAATGATCTTCATATAGAACTTTTATAAGGCCTCGTGACAAAAGCATAAATTCTTGGGAAGTAGCAATGCGGAGGCTTATCTTGACAACAAGAATAACAACCAACATAGTTACATGAAATGTCTGGACAAAGTGAGAAATCAAGTGAGTAGCTGCAGGAATAAGAAAATACAACCTGACCGTCTTTCAAGTAGGTGAAACTCGTTGGACACAGGCAGGGAAGAGAAGCTTAGTTTCTAGAGGAACGTTGTTAAATTCGTGTCATGAAGAATAAAATACAGAAAAACGTGCTAGCACTTGCAGTGAAGATGTCTGGGAAAATATAAAAATCGTTTATAGAGTGGGGGTTTCACCACTTCACGATTACCAAAGTATCCTTCAAAACAGAGAAGGAAAAGAGACTGAAACGAATGTCAGCCGGTTCAACAGGCTTATCAGTGATAGAGAGGGAGAGTACAAAGACCAATTTTCTGACAGGCTAGAGTTCATCGTCAGAAAGTGTTCAACGAGAAAGCTGACCGTTCCGATGGGAAACCTGAAATGCAAGACCACCAGCGGTGACGAACTGTTGGAGCATAAGAAACAGCCTCCAGACTGAGAGGAGATTACGATATGATGTTGGGGATGGATTAAAAACACTTTATTGCACCCATCAGACTGTATTACAAAGCAGTCTCTAACCTGAAATATTCAAGTTAAAAAGGAAGGAAATAGACTGAACAACACGCGGAGCTGGTAATTGCACGCTGAGATGTAACAGATTAATGTAAGTAATTATCAGATATTTTATCCGGAGCTGTTGACCATTTTTCTACTTATTCACTGGCTAGATGGTTCAGAACTTCGCCTGCAGCCCTTCTAAAATTACTGCTAGTCCTAAGCCCGGATAAAGAAGGAAGTTTTGGTCAGGTGGTCAGCATCTCCATCTAGTAGAAAACAACTCTAAGGAAAAAAGCGCTAACCAGAAAAAATTAATTTAGCCTGGAAATTGAAGGATCTCCATTTACAAGAATTGTGAAGCCTAATTGTGACAGTCGAGATTCTTTGAAAATGACGATGAAGAGAGGTGCTGATATACTGCTACATCACTAGCTGGTTGTGGTCAAGATGAAACTGAAACTTATGAAACAATGAACGGTTGGGGAAACAGCATTAAAAAGGTTTAATACGGTCTCCCATTCATTTACTGACAAACTTATCGAATTCAAGATAACTCTCAACAACATGTTCGAAGTCATACAAGATCTGCTGAAGGAAGAGAGAAAAGCTATTATGGAGGACAACTGGAAGGAAATCAAAGAAGCACTGACTTCAATGTGTCAGGAGGTTCTAGGCTGCAAGAGCCATCATCATAAGGAATGGATCTTCATGGAAAACCTAGACAGAATTCAAGAAAGGAAGAACAAGAACAGGGGTAGTGAAGGCACAAGCTGAATACACTGGCCCAAACAAGCAAGTAAAGCGGAGCATTCGAGCTAACAAGTAGAAGTATATGGAAGAGCTAGCAACGATAGCGGAAAATACTGCAAGAGAAGGAAATATGAATAAACTATGTCAGACAACGAAGAAACTAGTAGGAAAATTTAGTAACCAAAAAGATCGGTAAAAGACAAAGAAGTCAAGACAATCACTGAGATTGAAAAGCAATTGGACAGGTGAGCAGAGCAATTTGAAGAACTCTTAAAAAGATCAGCACTACTGAACCTATTGGACATCGAAGCAGAACATACAGACCTTCTTATAGATGCCACTCCACCAACGATCGAAGAAATCAGGATGGCTATGAGACAGATCAAGAATGGGAAAGCAACAAGATCAGATGACATGCCAGATAAAGCAGTGAAGTCAGACACAGGGGTAACTGCAAACATGCTTCACTTTCTAATCAAGAAGACTTGGGAGGAAGAAGAATTACCGACAGATTGGAAAGAAGAATAACAGGCATATTATTATACTGAAAAAAGGAGATCACAGAAAGTGTGAGAAATACAGAGGCATCACACCATTATCGGTATAAGGACGAGTTTCCAACAGAGTATTGTTGAAGTGAATGAAAGACTTAGTAGACTCTCAACTTCGAGATCAATAGAGTGAATTCCGAAGGGATCGATCGTGTACAGACCGAATCACGACACTACGGATGATTGTTGAGCAATCAGTTGAGTGTAGTTTGTCACTATACTTCGGCTCTCTTGACTACGAGAAAGCGTTTGACAATGTGTATAGGGGAATTTTATGGACCCTTACTCGACACTGTGGTGTACATAAGAACATTGTAGATATCATCCGGAATTCGCGCGACAGACTACACTGCGAAGTGGTGCATTTAGGACAACCGACAGATGGATTGGAAATGAGGACTGGTGTCAGACAAAGCTGTCTGCTCTCTCCCTTTCTTTTTCTTCTGGTGGTTGATTGAATTATGAAGACTTGCACATTTCAGCTGAAGCACGGAATACAATGATCAACTTGGATGAATCTAGACGAATGGACTTGACAGTTGATCCAATTTTTCTATCCGAAACACACCAACAAATGCAGGTTAAGACAACTAGTGTACCGGCAGCTTCTGTAGCAGTAGGCCTCAGCATACACGAAGGAATAAATGAGTTCCTCAAACACACCACAGAGAACACAAATTCAGTCACACATGATGGAAAAGCTCTGACATATGTGGAATCTTTCACGTATCTGATCAACAGCATAATCGATGAAGGAGGAAGATCGGATGCAGGCGTAAAGACGAGGATTGGCAAATCAGTGGCAGCATTCCTACATTCGAAGAACGTATGGAACTCAAAACAACTGTCAACCACTAGTCTTTCAATCTACCGTCTGCTATACTTACATTGGTTCATAAAATATATTTATTTCACAAAAGTAAATAATGTTAATCTACAAGTCGCTTGAAGTCGAATTTCGTAGAATCATTAAAATGCATTTGAATTGTATTGAGCATTATCGGTGTACATCATACGTAAAGATGAACCCAAGGGTTCCAATATCTAGCAGTTGAATTTCTTGTCATTCGCTGACATAAGCATCTGCTGTTGAGCTATTGTAATCATTACGAGTAATCAAGTAATAGCAGGGTAAAAATTTATCATCCTTTCCTGAATCTATTGACATAAAAAATGATGTCAAAGTCAATATATATATATATGTACATATCGTTGAGAGATTTAGTGACATTACTATAATGTTATGATAATTTTCGTCAAAGGTTAACCCCACTTTGAATACTACTCAAATGGAAGAGCACCGGGCAGATTTCCCTTTCCAGTTTGCTATTCTTTGGTTTCCAAGTTCTGCATATTTCACGCATATATTTTTAAAAAAATTTTTATTTCTCTATCTCTTTCTTAATTTTGCTGGTCTTACACCTCGTGAGTTTGTTTTCAGTTGTAATTACATCATTAGTAACAGTTAATTCTTTTACTTTTAGCCAGTCTAACTGATGAACATTTTACTGTAATAGCAGATATGTGATAATAATTATAAAGTTCTGATACTAGTGAGCACGAATATCCGAAACACATTTCGTTGTAGTGGATTACAAATTAAATCACGATACCTATGATGAATCGAATGATAAAAATCAATATAGTGTATCAGAGTCTACAAAAATCGTTTAATACAAAACCATGATTCGGCTTTACAGAGTGTCTTCTAACTACAAATATCTGTCAGATCTATCCACACTTTAAGAAATATGATAAAATTTCTCGAAGAGATATAGCTTGATATTAAGAAGCATTATCAAAAATGTTTTGGTGCTAGAAGTTATCTAGTGAAGATATAAAGACTTGCTTTTTCAATCAAATAGTTTGTTATGAATCTGTGAAATAACGTAGTAAACTAACCACACTACTCTAAGGTACCCACCTTTTCTTACATCAAGTGCAAAAACCATTCTTATCAAGCTATGATAAACATAGTTTATTCACTCGCAATTACCACCAGAGGTCAATAACAAATATAAGGCATTGAAACAGTTAACCTTATTTACATCACAAAAATTATGTTACTAATT